CCCCCCCCCCCCGGAAAAAAAAAAAAAAAAAAAGGAAATATCGAGAAAAGAACCTCCACCGTTCAATCCGATATTAAAAAAAATGAACTACTGACACCGATCGTCACAAAAAAAAAGACAAATGCACACACCAGACTGAGCCCGAAACCCCACAGACAATTGAAAAACGCCAGAACTAAGGAAACAAAACCCAATGACTCGGAGGGGGCAGCGTCAGGTATCAAGGTGCACAGCCTTTCAAGATAAGCGGGTGAGGTCGTCTTCGCTCTATCGACGCGTTCAAGGTACGATCGGGGCGTAGAGTCGTAAGGAGGAGGTAAGTGGACTACGCTATTAACACTGGTCGTATTCTCGATTACACAGCAAGGGAAGGGGGAAGGGAGAAGGGGTCGAAAGTAAGTGAAGGGAATAACGAGAACGCACTAGCAAAAGGAGCCACATAGCAGATTGGAAGTCCTTTCTTAACATATATTAAAAAAAAAAAAAAAAAAAAAAAAAAAAAAAAAAAAAAAAAAAAAAAAATGTCAAAAAAAAAAAAAAAATTCTAACGTATATCTAGTTACGAAAAGGAAAGAGTTTTGATTAATTCTAAAATGTTTTCAAAAAAAAAAAAAAAAAAAAAAAAAAAAAAAAGTCGTTTACTTATGCAATGGCAGCCCAAAGGGCGATGACGGAAAGAGACAGAAGGGAGGGCATCAGCCTGAGAACAAGGGAAAGAGAGGGAAGCGGGGAGGGCAGCAAGTCGGATTCTCAGGGCACAACGGTCTCAGGAATCAGACTCACTCAATCGAAGGCCCTTGGGCAGAAGGCGTTGGATTTTCTCATGGAAAAGACGAAAATCACAGCCCCGGTAAAAATCACAAAGGAGGTTATCAAAGGGCAAGAAGGTAAGGAGGAGGAGGTGGATGTATGGGAATACCCAGAGCAAGACTTGCAAGCTCTACACGATCTCTACGAACGGCACGCGGTACTATTCAATTTCTCAGGCAAAAACCGGGAGCTGTCGTTGAACTAAAAGAGGAAGTGGGTGATGGAGAGGCTGAGGGGGTTGGAGAGCATTCCAGGTATTGAACCAGAAGTTTCATACCATAAACGGGGCAGATTCACAGTCATGATAGTTTGTGTGGACCCGGCGTACGCCCAATACTTGCTGTCATTGGGCTCGCTCAGGTGTCATGGATCAGTGTTAATGATCCAAGCGTGGAAACCGCCTCAACCGCCACCAGCAGAAGCTTCAAGGCACAAACAGTCAATGATGAGGGACAATTTTTGGGTGCAGTTCGACAACCTCTCGGAAGGCATGCACAGCTTCGTGCAGCAGCGCTTGATTGAGGAATACCCAAACAATCCGATCATTGAATGGCTCCCTGCAAATCCAGACTTCTTGGCTTCGAACCACGACTCCAGGGTGGTATGCCTGGAAGTCAAATCTGGGGCACCACCGAAGTTCCCAGAGGTGTGGATCTTCAAAAGAAGAACTGAACGCATCACCGTGTTTATTTCATCTAAATCCAACCCGTTCTGTTTCAAATGCAGAGCAAGGGGGCACTTGGGAATGCACTGTCCACAGTCGGGCGCAGGTTCGGGGGGGAGACAGCCTCAGCTGAAGCAATCGATGCTGGTTGAAGCGGATAACAAACCAGGGGTATGGTACATAATTCATCACAGTACAGAGGCTGGATTTTTTATGATAACCTGAAGACTCCCAGGTGGGTATGGGTCCTGAGCAGTGCACCCACAGTGAAACCGGACATCTATCCACCCTACGACAGCCGATGGAGACAAGCAGGAGCAAAGCGTATGGAAGACAAAGATGTGGGTTACATCACCAAACCAATGATTGACGAGGCTACAGTGTTGGACGACAAGCAGAGGTTGCAGACCATGGCTGAATTACACAAGCTGGGACAAGAGGCTGAATTGGCCTTTTTGGAAAATATGAGAGCAAGGGAGGAGGATGAGAAATTGGCAGAAGGGGAAAAGGGAAAAGGGGAAGGAGGAGAGGAAGTGAGCAGCAAATCCTCGGGCCAAAGTGGAGACACAAAGGAGGAGAGGACAGAGAAGGGCGAGGCCAGTGGGGAAGGAGAGGAAGGAGACTCCCAGGCGTCAATGAAAAGGAAGATGAGCGCCACGGGGTTCAGCACGAGCCATGGTTCAAAAAGAACCCACACGGGTAGGAAGGAGGAGGAAGCCTCCTCGCAAGGCCAAGATTAGGGTTTGGGTATGGAAGAGGAGGGGCAAGAGGATGTCAATACCCAGAGTGAGGAAATGGACACATCTCTGCCGGCAGCTGGGAAACCTTCATCTTCTTCGTCGGACCAGCGAACGAGTCTGAGCACTCCATCAGAGAATAGCAGCTCAGCAGTCAGCCCGAAGAATGGAAGTGAGGTAAAAGCAATGGATGAATCATTGGGAGCATGACAGGGGGAGAGCGGTAGCGAAGCAGAGGACAGCATGTCGGAGGATTCGGGAGAGGATTCGGGAGAGGAAACAGATGGAGAGGAATGGGAAGACGCAGAAGGGGAAGAGGAACCTGAAACCTTGGCACAATGGATCCGAATAGTCCACAAGCTGAGGTGGAAAAGGCACATTGAATGTGAAATGCGTTTGGCGCATCATAAACACCTGCGCAACCTGAAACAGGCATTTTCAGCAGGAGATGATATCACCTCAACAAACAGATTTGAGTGGTTGAAGAAAGAGCAGGAGGTCAACGAATTCTACGCAACACAGTACGCATGGAAGGCTCGCCCAGCTAACAATGACATCTATGTGCACAATGGGAACTATGCCAAACAGTTCACATGGCCCAAAACGTACCAACCGCAAGGACTGAAGAGGTCGGAACAGAAAAGGAAAGCGCAGCGGGAGGCAGAGGACAAATCGATCAGCGGGAACCAGGGAACAGAGGTCTCAGTTCAGGAGATGGAGGAGAGGGAGCAGATGGAGGAGGAGAAGAGACAGGCGGCGATTTTGGGAGCACAAATCAACGTTCTCAAGGATCAGAACAGGGAACTGGAGGTGGATACCATAAACCTGCAAAAGATAGCATACTCACCGCAAGTAGACATAAATGCAGCAGCCAAACTCTTTGCAAGACATAACCCGGGAAGGAGAATCATTGTACCCTACCGCTGGAACAGTGGTAACTCGGATTGGGAAGTGGCCATTCACAAGACCTTGGCCTTAGTCTCAGCAAACGACAGTCATTGCTCGCGAGACAAGCTCAAAGAGCAGATTACGGGTGATCTCCCTGACAAAGCTCAAGTGGTTGGAAGCCTTTCACAGGACTGGGAGGAGTGGGAGGACACGGCGGGTGGCAAGCAAATGGTTGACTACAGGCCCATCTTGCTCAGATTGCAGGAGAAGGCCAAACTGGCGGAGGGACTGATATGGATGCTATGGCAGGTGGTGGAAACGATACCGTACGGCCTCTTGGGAGTTTCGGAGGCAGCGAAATGGGTGGCAAGAGGGGCAGCGATTCTCACCAAGGCCGATGTTTTCTCGTGGATGCCAGAGTGCATTGATGACAAAATAGCCCCCCTGACTACTGAGTTAGATTGGTCACAAACAGGATCGTGAGGAGGTGCTCGCTAGAGGGCCATCAATAGAGAACAGGGCAGATGGCAGAGGAACCAGAAGAGGAAAGAATTAAGAGAAGAAGAGTATCAGTCCCCATAGGGAGAAGGGAATCGGAGATTAGAGTCGTGTCCTGGAATGTAAACGAAATGGCGCAGATATTGGATAATAGAGATAAATGGAATAATGCATTGAAGACAGCTGACTGGTTTGGGAAGAACCCTCCGGATTTTCTGTGTCTACAGGAAACCCATCTTACTAACACTCCGATACATCAAAGAATCCAGCAGTGCATCGTAAAACAGCTCAGGTGGGTGAAAGCGAGCTTTTGGGCCGTAGCGACTAGACCGCACTCAGCAGGAGTGGTGATTCTGCAAAACAAAAGATCGGCCGCGGCAAACAAACTGATGTTACAGGAAGCCACGTTAGACGAAGAGGAGGGGCGATGGGTAAAGCTTAACTTTACTTACCAAGAAGAGCACTTTTCGTTATTCACGGTCTACTGCCCCAACTCACGCTAAGGTAGGTCAGAAATGCTCCAGTCAGTACAATCTTACATAGAGGCTACGAGACACATTATAATGGTGGGAGATTGGAACGCCACCCTCGAACCAGGTAAAGACAAATTGATGGGAGGAAGATCAGGAACCGGGGAAGAGTTGTCGGGGGACGAGGCGATGCCAATCCACACCCTCATGTCGTCCTGGGGCCTCATCGATCCGTTCCGGCTACACTACCCAAATCAGAAACAGTTCACCTACTACAAAAGAAATCGCAGTCAGCATATGTCAGCCTCCAAAATAGATTACTTCCTCGTTTCGGAGGAATTAATAGGGTCTCTTCACTCGGTACAAATAGGGGATCTGCCATACTGTACTTGCTTGGATCACAAACCCATAATTCTAGAGCTGGTCATAAACAAGCACATCCAGAGGGGCAGAAGTTTTTATAAGGTGAATAACTCTTTGCTGAAAACGTCGGAACTGAGAGAGGCCATACTGCAGGTTTGTTTGTCCCATGACAGTGACTCTCGATTGTTCACTGATCTAATATCCGCACTGTCGGGGACAACATCAGCAGTGGCTAGGCAACTAGCAGCTAGAAGGAAAGCTAGGGAACTAGAACTGCAGCAAGCCTTACGAATAGTTGAGAGGAATTTAATCAATAATCCAGGCGCAGAGATGTACGAGAGAATAATAGACTCGGCAAGAAAGGAATTGGGAGATTGGGAACGATGGAGGGCTAGGGGTTTGCAGTTGAGAGCGAGCGTAAAAGAGTGGGAAGACGGCGAACGAATGACAAAATACTTCTTTCAAAAGATTAAAACTAGGGGAAAGAATTCGCAAATAGATCAGCTAGAGGGCCCACAGGGCATAGTGTCCGAGCCAGAGGGGCTGTTGTCAGTAGCTAGCAACTTCTACAGTTCACTATATAAGTCTAGAGAGGGGGATCAGGAACCAAGACAATTAAAAGAAGTCCGAGACAAGTTCCTAGCTTATTTAGATTGCACGGTGAAGGGGGATCAAGCACAAATGCAAGAAGCCCCACTCTCACAGGAAGAGTTAAGAGAAGCCTTGAACACAACAAGACACCAGGTAGGGATGGACTAACAAGGGAATTCTGGCAGGAATATTGGGAAATCCTGTGAGGGGAATACGAAGCCTTTTTGAACCAAGTGTGGAACAAGGAAGGCCAGGGGTTAGAGTCCTCGACAGGAATTGTCACCCTCCTATACAAGAAGGGGGATCCCAAGGATATCAGGAATTATAGACCGATTACGCAACTGACACTTACACACAAGATAGTGGCCAAAGCACTAGCTAATCGCTTGAGAAAGATAACAGGCAGATGCTTTCACCTCGATCAGACAGGCTTTGTCCCTGGGAGATTTATTCTAGACAACGTCATGACTCTATCAGAATCAGTCAGATATATAGCGAATAAAAGAATGAATGCGGCTATCCTTTTCTTTGATTTTGAGAAGGCATACGATCAGGTCAACTGGTCCTTTCTACAACATTGCATGGAGAAGATGGGAGTGGGTCCTAACGTTCGCAAATGGATAAGAGTATTGTATAACGATTCTTACGGTCAAGTGCAGGTCAATGGCCACCTCTCAGAAAGATACAAAATGACTAGGTCGGTCAGACAAGGCGACCCCCTGGCAGCCCCTATTTTTCTGTTTATTATGGAAGCCATAGCCTCATTCCTTAGAAAAGATCCTTCGATTGACCGACTGATAGCAGAACCAGACCAGCAGGGACGTATTATAGACCTACCTACCACAATACTATTTGCGAACGACCTCACAGTCCTCATTAGGGCCACTGATTCCTCATTTCAGGCGCTCACAAGGGCGATGGAAGCCTTTCAGCTGGCTTCGGAAATGAGAATTAATTGGCCTAAAACGATAAGCTGGTGGCTCACATACGACCACCATCACCAGCAACCTCAACCCYYTAACTACGGAGGTATGGATTGGATGCCTCCACACCAACCACTGAGATATTTGGGGATCAGACTAGCGGACACGGGCCCCCATCATTCCATGGCTCCAGAACAAATGACCAAAATGCTAGCAAAGATGGACGCCTGGTCAAATATATACACTTCACTATTTGGGAGGGCTTTGGTTCTCAATGCCTATCTTTTCCATATTATGGTATGCGGGAACAATGTGGTCACCACCTGTGCACTCACTTCAAAAACTTCGAAGGGTAGCGGCAGCCTATCTGTGGACAGGAAACCCAACTAAGACCAATTTCATATCAAAGGTAACATGGAGGCATGTAATACAAACAAAAAATCAGGGGGGATTGGGTATCCTGGACCCCGAACAACAGATTAAGGCACTTCAATCTAAATGGGTCATCAAATTGGTCACGCAACCCCACTTACGTTGGGTTCCTTTAGTCCTGGAACACATACGGGGGATGTCCAGGKACACAACTCCTCCAAATATGGAAGGTACATTCTGGATATTCTGCAAAGGGTGGGCAAAGAAGGGTAGAGCAAGAGAACAGGGGGGCGAGGAGGGGACATCCACCTCTTCGTATTGGGCCCAARTCCTCAAGATATGGGAGGAAATATTCCCGGCAAGAGTAAGGARACCTAGATCAAAGGAAGAAGTCCTCAGACAACCCYTGTTTTGTAACCCTTGGTWGAAGGACTCCCAAGGGAAGCCAAGGACGCTAACARCAAATGRCGCTAAATGGGGTAATTGGTTGGAAMACGRAGTTTGGCAAATCAAGCACTTATGGTCTCTAAGTGATAATCGATGGAAAACGGGAAGAGAATTAAGAACTACGATGAAAGGGTGTCATAGGCTCACGGAAAACTTAAATGACATCCTTATCTCCATACCGCAAGAGTGGACACAGTTGTTGAGAGGATCGCACAAATGGGATTGGGGCGATTGGGCGACCTGGATCGCAAGCACAATACCAGGACAAGCTTTTCCTGTTCAGCAAGAGGTAGGCCCCACCAAATCAGTGGCTGGATGCATAAATGTTTACAATCGTAAACCCGGGTGTCACAGTTAGCCTGCTGGATAAGGAATCAAAGATTGCAATTACCATCAAGAAAAGCATGGTAAGGAAAGTCAAGGTGGTAGAGGACGACGAATTCACAATTTTTGTACCCACAGTGTCCATTCAAGATCTGGAGTATGACCCGGCGGAATGGGCGTGGAATATTAAGGGAAGGGACTCACGAATAGCTACGAAGATTAATATACTCCGCTACACAACGAAATCGGGATATAGGTTGAGGAGGAGATCGACCCAGTTAGATCTCCCCTTGGCAATAAGATGGGAAAAGCGGGAGGGAATACCAAGAGAGCAGGTGGGGAAACTACCTTGGTCTACATTACAAAGTATAAGACTGGGCAAGGTCAGAAGTCTACACTGGCTCATATTTCACGTGGCCCTCCCAGTAAACTCTTGGCTGCATGGAAAAAGGAATAAAAATAGGGTCGAGGAGGAGCAAAACTGCTCCATGTGTATGGGGGGGATACCGGAAACTATGGTTCATTGTTTACTCTCTTTGTCCGGAAGCGGAGCACGTATGGGCATTAACTCGTACACTTTGGGCTCGAGTTATGGATGCTCCCTTCCCATCGATCAGGGGTCGGCTTCTAATCGGAACTGAAGCACCCAAGGGATGGAAATCAAGTCAAAAATGTATTTTTCAGCTGCTGAGGCTCTACACGTTATGGACAGTCTGGAAAAGAAGATGCCAACAGGTGGTGGGCAAAGCCTCGATGAACATAATGGAGGCAAGCGCAACTCTATACAATCTGCTCGAGACAGACATCAGAGCCCAATGACAGCGCGTTAAGAAGCAAGCTGAGAAGCAGGAAGAGGTGAACCCGGAAAAGGCCAAGGACATAATCAACAAATTTCAGACTAAGGTCTTAGCTGCAGGCAAAGTGGCGACACTGGAAGGGAAGGCATTGCGCTTGCATTGGTTTAAGGAGGATCACCAGGACACATCGCAAGAGGATATGCGGCAGGATCAAGAACTGGGGCAGCCATAATCCAAGGGAAGGCCGACACATCCCAAACGAACGAAGAGGGACTAAGGAAAGGAAAGAGGAGGGGGTCACAGGCTTAGGGGTTAGGGTTTAGGGTTTTAGCAGGGGTAGCGCAGTGGCAAAGGGATAGGGAAGTGTGTTTTCCGGCTTTTCAAAATACAGCTCCTGAAAAGGTAACATGGGAGGGAGGGAATAAGCCGAGGTCGACGACACTCGAGAGCAAGCACGGGGAAGTACATAAGGATGTCTTATCACAAGGACAGGGGGAACGTATCCCTGCCGACTTCAAAATGGTTACTCAGAGGGCTGCGACATCGGCTGAGGGTCTATGGGTTTTGGAATGGGAACTATTCAAGTACACGGGAGGAAAGGTGGAATGAGAGGG